ATATCCTGGTATACTGAAAACTACATAACAGGTCAATTGTTGAAATGGGCAAGGATAATTCCCTGTTAATATGGATCCTTCAGTTGATCCTTACAATTTCCTGAAGAAACTCCTTGCCCTCCCCTGTCACTGGGCTGGAGTGGAGGACAACTGCATCCACCCAGATTGGACTTTGTAATGTTGAAACAGACGTTTCCTAAAGAGATACTTACTACAAATGATATACTAATAATTATCTATTATATTTCAAGAGAAAAAATCCTGATCTCACACACTAGTTTGATTTCACAACTCACCAGTAGGTTGAGGCCTATAGTTTGAAAACTGGCAAAGGCTCTGGGCTTTCTGACACCCCAGTTGAATGGGAAGGGGAACCTCAGTTTCCCTGGACCAGGGTTAGGAGCTTGTGTTCCATTGGCATGTTGAGCTTTTCTCCAGGGCTCTTTGTTTAAGGAACTTTCCTTGTAGACATTTCGCTCCAGCCTTCTCTTCATTTCTCAAACCTTGGGCAGTGGTTCTCAATCTTCTTAATGCCATGACCCTTTAATATAGTTCCTCAAGTTGTGGTGGCCCCCAACCATAAAATTATTTTCGTTGCTACTTCATAACTGCAATTTTGCTACTGTTGTAGATCATAATCTAAATATCTGATATGCAGGGTGTATTTTCCTATGGTCTTAGGGGTTGCGACCCACAGGTTGAGAACCGCTGTCTTAAGGGAAAATGACTGTGCTCAGTGATTGGCCTGGTTCCTTTCTCTCTTCTGATTGAGTTACTGAGGCCCTGGGGGAAGGAAAGCCTTGACGGGGGGCTGGGATCCGTGCTCAACCCGTGGTAGAATCCATATTTATTTATTTTTTTTGAGACAATCTCACTGTGTCACCCTTGTTATCATGCCGTGGCATCGCAGCTCATAGCAACCTCGAACTCTTGGGCTTAAGTGATTCTCTTGCCTCAGCCTCCCAAGTAGCTGGGAATACAGGCACCTGCCGCAACACCCCGCCTATTTTTTGTTGCAGTTATCATTGTTATTTCAGCTGGCATAGGCTGGGTTCGAACCTGCCAGCCTCAGTGTATGTGGCTTTTGCCGTAACCATTGTGCTGTGAGTGTTGAGCTGAGAACCAGTATTTAGCAAAATAATTCTCATGAACTCTTTACCATCTCAATTGCTATGGAGTTAATCAGAGGCTGGCACCTGTCCACATGTCTCATCTGTTTGTTTGTTTTTTTCAGACAGAATTTCTCTCTGTTGCCCTGGGTAGAGTGCCATGGTTTTGTCAGTCATAGCCACAACCAAAGTCTTAGGCTCAAGTGATCCACCTGCTTGAGCCTTTCCATGTAGCTGGGCCTACGGCTGTCTGCCATTACACTGGCTAATTTTTGTAGTTTTAGTAGAGGGGGGGCTCCCTCTTGCTCTTGCTTTTTTCCATCTCTGGAGCTCAAGGGACCCTCCTGTCTCAGACTCCAGGGTGCTAGGATCACATGAGTCCCTGGGCCCGCCCACCTGTGTCTCTGGAGGGGCAGCCTCCAGGCTCCTTGTCTCCCTCTGGCCTTCCCACAACTCCTGGACCTGTCACATCAGTCAGGTGGCTCCTGTCCTAAACCCTGCAAAGCCAGACAGGGCCACTTGGAGTCAGTTCTCTCAGTTGCCGCCTCCCGTCCTCTCTCCTTCCATCCTTACCAGGCCCACTAGCTGTCTTTCCCTTATGGAAGTTGGATTCTGGGGACACAAACCTGATGTTTTTGACTTGTACTTTGTGATCCTGGGCAAGTTATTTAGCTTCTGTCCTCAGTTTCCTACCTAGTAAAGGGGGCCGAAAACAAGCCCAACATGTAAGCAGCTTGTGAGGAACAAATAAAACAATTCTTGTGAGGATTAAATGAAATAGTTAACATTGATTACTTAACTCAGGTCTTGTTAACAACACATAAAATGTGCTGACACTTCATTTTATTTCATTTTTGGGACCAACTCTCACTCTGTTGCACCAGTGTAAAGTTCTGTAGAGTCATAGCTCACAGCAATCTCAAAACCCTGATATCAAGTGATCCTTTTACCTCCGCCTTCTGAGTAGCTGGTGCCCACAACTCTTGGATAATTTTTCTGTCTGTAATAGTGACAGGGTTCTCATTCTTTCTCAGGCTGGTCCTCAACTCCTGAGATCAAGCTATAGGCTCGCCTTGGCCTCAGCAATCCAGAGTGTTAGGATTACAGGTGTGAGCCATATACCGACAAGCTATTTGTTGGCAATGAATAACATCCTCTATTGTTATTTTTGGTTAAGTGTGAGGTTGGCTATTAATTCAATGTACTCTTCATCAAGATACAAACATAATTTTTGAAGTGCTTTAAACATCGTCAGGAAGCAATTTTTCATATTGACCATTTTTGTTTTTGCTAATGATGTGACTGTTTATTATCCCTGATGGACTGATACAAGCAGCCATCCCTGTTGTCATTCCTCCCTCCAGCCTCACTCCCTGTCCTGTTCTCTCCCTTCTACCCACCCTCCAGCCTCCCCTGCCCCCTACCAACTGTAGTGTGGAGGTGTCTGTACTCAGGGAAGCTTTACTGAATGCTGGTGGTAGAGGTGGGGTCAGTCTGGGAACAGAACTCAGGCTGCCTCAAAAAACAATAGTGGTGTGGAAAGATTACAAGTCTCAATTCTAATTTGCATAATAAGATTATGTGTGATTATAGTATCCCCCCCTTCCCTTCCATCTGTCATTCTCCAATATCACCTTTTCAGACCACCATCCATTTTATTCTCATTTGGGATTCCTAAAAAAATCTTTGCTCGCCCTCTGCTCTTTTGTTGTGTCTGCCTCTTCCCCAGTCACCTTCCCGGGAGTACTCTCTGTAGGTATGTTCCTTCTGCTTTAGTTAATGTGACTGGCCAGGACTGAAACTGGGTGGAGAGGGGACAATAGGAGCTTATGGAGATTCCAGGGAGGAATGAAGGCGAGAGCTCTGGTCAGCTCCATAGTACACTAGCCCAGTGCCATGATCCAAAGTGGAGTTGGTGCTCAACCCTTTCCACCTGGACACATGAAAGGACAATAAAAATAATTAAGCCGCAAACTCTCCAGAATTTGGGAAGAAATCAGTTCTCTGCAACTTCTGAGATGTAGTTGATATGGGTATTTTTACTTGGCCATGAAGACCAAGAGAAGGGAGTAGGCTGAACAGTGGTTCTCAAGTGTAGCTTCACATTGGAATCAGCTGGAGAGCTCCCAGACATTTCCAAGGCCAAAACCACACCCTCCCCCAATCCAACCAGAGTATCTGTGGCTAAGGTCCAGGCAGGGGTATGTCTAGGTGATTCCAAAAGTGCAGCTATGGGCTGGGCACAGTGGCTCACAACTGTAATCCTCTCAGTCTGGGAGGCCACGGCGAGTGGATTGACTGAGCTCATGGGTTCAATACCAGCTTCAGCCAGAGGGAGACCTTGTCTCTAAAAATTGCCAGATGTTGTGGGACTCCCTGTAGTCCCAGCTACTTGGGAGGCTGAGGCAAGAGAATCCTTCTAGCCCCAGAATTTGAGGTTGCTGAACTATGACATGGCATGCTACTAAGTGTGACAAAGTGAGAATGTGTCTCGAAAAAACCCCAAACCAACAAAAGGCAGGTGTGGTGGTAAATGACTGAGCTAGAATGTGGTTCTAAAACTCTGTTGTGCATCAGCGTCCCCTGGATGGGTTCAATGGGTCTGAGGCAGGACCCAGGTTTTGCATTTGTAACAAGTTCCCAAGGTTGGTGGAGGACACAGTGCACCCTGATGCTGATGTCTGGGTTTACATGCAAATTTCTTTTACCAAAACTTGTAAGAAAAATTAAGTTTGCTGTTATAAACTCTGATGTTTAAAAAAATAAGGACAATTTGAGAGATTTGAATCTGCTCCATTCTTTTAATGACATATACTACCAACTCTGTATTTCACTTGCTGTTGCACAATTCTTAGTCCAGTTCCTGCCTTTTAAAAAAGTGGAACAATTGAGACTGGAAGAATGAGGGAGTTAGTGGTCTTAGCAGGGATGCGATCAGTGTGTTAACAAAATTCACAAAGCATGGATGTTCTTGCCAATCACCCCATACCCCACAGTACACACACAGTAAATGGCAAAATTTCTCACATTAATTCATACCCAAAAGGCCATATAACAGTGGTTTTGGTCACGCCCCTTGTGTAAGGGCTTGCCTACAATTTGGACTTTACCTTAGAAACCATAAAAATGTAAACTAAACATTTGTTCTCTAAAGTGAATCTGAAATTTAAAAAAAGAGAGAGAGAACATTTTCCATATGAAAAAAAAAATTGGCTGCTTATCAGACTGGGCCCAATCTGTTTTTTCCTTAATACTAATTTTTAGAACTTTCTGTGAAAAAAAAAAAGGCTGTAAGCTGGGGCTGGATGGGGTGGCTCATGCTTATAATTCCAGCACTTTGAGAAACTGAGGTTGTTGATTGCCAGAGTTTAGGAGTTAGAGTGCAGCCTGAGCAAGATGGGGACAATGTCTGTACTAAAAAAAAGGAGAAGAACTAGCTGGTCATTTTGGCTGGTACCTGAAGTCCCAGCTACTCAGGAGACTCAGGCACTAGCATAGGTTGAGCCCAGGAGTTTGAGGTTGCTGTCAGCTGTGATGCATAGTACTCTACACAGGAGAACAGAGTCAGATTCTGTCTCACACTAAATAAATAAATAAACATTTTATTTTTTAGTCATTTATTTTTTAATTAAAAAAGATAAATGAATACTTATTTTAAAAAAGAAAAAGGAGAATGCCTCATCAAGAAGAAACCCTGGGACACTAAGAAATCAATGCTTCCTCTAAAAGCCAGAAACAGCCAGTATTGTCAGACCTGAGAAGTACTGGTACCTCAGTCCAAAAATCAGATCTCAAATATTCTTCTGTGGCCAAAGCTACTCTTCAAGAACTTGCTGGTTTGTGTGGGCCCTGGTTAGTAGCATAGATGTCCTGCTGTCCTGTGCCCACTAACATAACCCACAGCCATCCCCACAGCCTCCGAAAAGTTACATGTCTTCCACACTCCATTTGTAGGCAAGTTCCTCCTCTGCCTTCTTGCTGGCAAGTCTGGGAAAGCGCTTCTGTTCAAATCCGTTGGCTCTGTCCACTCCATCCCAGCGATATCCAGGCCAGATAGTAAATCTGTTGGGAGGAGGTGCTAGACCACTGTAGCGAGGTCTCACTTTCTTATGCTTGCTCTCCTTGGCCTTATTCTTCTTGATGAAGTTGGCCATGGAGTCTCCCTCTCATTCTTGTTTTCTTAGCATCTGATCCAGATCTTCATCATCCATATAGCGAGCCAGAGGCTTTTGCATCTTCTTCATGGCATCGTCTACCTTTTGCTGCTGTTGCTGGCTCTGGGCAGGCCCTTTTCCCCACTGGGCATACAGTTCACCTCTTGCTGAGTCCTTCTCTGCTTTCCTCCTTTGCTCTAAACACTCCAGTTTCAAGTTCCTCTTACGACCAGACTTATCTCGAAATACAGTTTCAGCACACTGGGATTCAGCTTCAAATGCCATGGTTTCTTGGTCCCTTTTCTTGAGCTCCTGCTGCTTTCCCTGGACGTCAGTTAACACCAACCCAGCTGTAGCCCCAGAATACATATATGCAGCCTTCTTTCCAGGAGGCTGACTCCTTGGAGGTGGAGACAGATCAGAATCGGAAGATTTGGTCCTCTGTCTCCTTGGTGGAGAAAGGTCATAATCCGAGCCCCAGTGCCTAGGTCTATCTATTCTGTGGAGGAGAAAGATCTGAATCAGAGGCTCTCTGGCAGTTAGCTTTAGAATCAAGCTGCTTCTTATCTCCAAAATGGCATTTGCTTGTTTTCATGGAGCAGAGAGGGCTGAGTCATATTCATGTTTGCTGTACTTTGGCAGTGGCCCCTTCTCATGTGGAGAAGTCTTCCTAGAGGTTCTTTCTGGGGCTTTACTGCTTTTGGCTCTGGGCAGTGAACGAGTGAGTCATTTCAGGGCAGTCATGACCGGCCCTCCTGAGTTGCCATGTGTCCAAGGAGTCAAGGGTCCTCCTAGGCTGAGATGTGTCAGGGGAGCTGTTATGGGCCCTTCTAGGGGAAGAGACATCTGAGGAACTGTGATGGGCTCTCCTTTGAGGACATGGATCTGATGAGTCATGATGGACTCTCCTAGGAGATACCCCTGTAGAATTGCGATGAGACTTCCTGTGGGGAGAATAATCCGGAGCATCATGACGGACCCTCCTGGGAGGAGATGGATCCGGGGTATCATCACGGGCCCTCCTGGGATGACATGGATCCGGGGTATCGTGATGGAAATGACTAGGTGAGGCCAGATCTTCACCGTGACCTCCCAGAAGCTTCCACTTGGCACTGGAACGAAAGGCCTCCATCTGCTTTACCTCTTCTGGCCGCTCATCCACAAACTCAGCCACCACAGGCACATCTCCATCATCTTCTTCTTCCTCCTTTTCTGGTTTAGTGGTAGAAATAGCTGTCCAGCTCACATCATCATCTACAGTCCTCATTCCCTTGCCGCTGGTCCCGCCAAACTTCGGCCGCTTTTTACTAAGCTTTCGACCGGACTCAGAACAGTGAACGCCAGCATCTGTGCCGGACGGGTACCGCTTCAGATACTCGGCCTCGGAGAGGGCGGAGCTGCAGCCATGGCAGCGGCGAGGGGTGGGGGTGGGGGGAAATAAACATTTTAAAATAAATGAAATAAAACTGGAAAGAAGTGCCTACCTTATAGGTATTTAATTCACAGAATGGAGATAGCATCAGGTAATAATACAGAAAAGTGGGGCACTAGGCCGTGCAGAAAGAACCAGGGAAAGGCGAGGATACTCAGAGTGCAGTTCGTCTCGGGGAGGGCGCGCCGCTGAATAGTGGGACTTCACTGGCTCTCCTCCTTCACTGGCTCTCCTCCTTCATTGGCTCTCCATTGTGAAGACCGTATGTTAGATTTCCCCCATTGGGACTATTCCTGCTGCTTCTGCCCCCAATGCAGGCACCGTGGCACTGACTGTTTACACAAGAACACTTTCTAGAGAGTAAAAAATGGTATGGTTTCCACCTTGCCTATCTTGTCCAGGAATGACCCTCAAGAGTGGTAGAACTGCTGAGTCAAAGGACAGGGACACCACTGTAGATCCTGACACAGTCCATGACTTATGAGATATGAACGCCTCTGATTACATTAGCTGAGATGTGACTAGGTTTCACCAATGTGCTTCTGTATTTGATCTCTAACACACTTTGCTTTTTCAGGTTGAATTCCGGAATTGGAGAATCTTCTTCAGATGGCAGTAGATTTGCTTGTGGAATTCAAAGAGTTACCATGATATTTTGAATTTTGTACTCTAAAATTTTAATGACATCATCTTGCAGAGAAGGGTGGGGTTGATTAAATTTGCTTGATTAGATTTGAACGGCACAATCTTAGGGTGGGACCTATGCCCCTGAGTGGGGAGGGGACTGTATCCCAGCACAAACTCAGAGGCGACCAGCTGGGAGCCCAAGAGCTGCAGTCTTAGGATCTCCAAGACCTCCCCTGGAAATCTCCAAGTCAAGGTCAGTTTTCTTCCTGTCAGTGTTCCACTTCTCTGTTTGGCTACAGTTGTTTTTCTAATCCCCTTACCTTTGTATTTTAGAAGAGAAGAGAAAGGGCCAGTTTTGTCCTCTGTCAGGGAACTTTCTTCACTTTTCTCTCTAACATTTAACATCCCCATTTAAATTATATGTTAGCTGGGCTTTGGGGGTGCATGCTCATAGCTACTTGGGAGGCTGAGGCAGGAAGATTGCTTGAGCCCAAGAGTTTGAGGTTACTGTGAGCTATGATGGCACGGCCACTCTCCCTAGGGCACAGAGTGAGACTCTGTCTCAAACAAATAAAGGAATGAATGCGTAAATGAATAAATACAAATTTTTACACGTGAACTTGAGGTTGCTTTGGATAGGTACCTGTATTTTAATGTGTTTTCAACTACCAAGTATGTGCCATTTTTAAAAATTGTTCCCTTTTACTTTCTAATATTCTTTGTTAAAGAATTTTCTGAGTTTTCACCTAAATATATATACCACTTGGCATAGTTGTATCATCCTTAACTGAGTCATTACCTCATTTCTGGTCCAGGAGATCTGGAATTTTGTAGTTAACACTAAAAGGAAGAACTTGTTGGAGATGTAGAAATTTACTTTTAAAAACTTGTTTTCTTGGATACCTTCCAAGGTGAGAGAGGCAACCTTGTTGAGTTTTCAAGCCCCAGGTCAGATTTGCCATGAAAGAACAGTAGCCATGGCAGGAGGCTTCTGGCGGCCCCGGGATTATGAAGCTTCAGGAGCAGTTGGGGTGACGGGAGGGCCTCTTCCCTGTGAGGAGCGTCTTTCTGGTTTGTGTCCAGCTGCAGATTATTTTAGAGAAGTTGATGACAATGATTATAACTTTTGTATCATGTTTACTCTTGAGTAGTTTTTCTCAAAGTGCCTGACAGCATTTAACCCAATGATACTTTCTTCTTAAGAATTATTCTATTCTGGGGCGGCGCCTATGGCTCAAAGGAGTAGGGCGCTGGCCCCATATACTGGAGGTGGTGGGTTCAAACCCAGCCCTGGCCAAAAACTGCAAAAAAAATTATTCTATTCTGGGCATCTCATTCACTCGGCTGTGGAATTTGCTAGTTTCACTCACATATGGTGCCTTTGTTTGAAATTCTGTGAGTCCCTTAGTCACTTTTCTGTGATGACTCCAGCAGAACTGGGTTTACCATTATGACTAGACTTAATTGTTGATAATCTTTTTCTTGAACTGCAGGTGACTTTCAAAGAAGTACGGATTAGGAGTGTGACTTCACTCTCAGATCCTGTTACAGACCCAGCTGGGCTCGGCTCCCATAAGGAGAAGCATTGGGCCCAGCAAACACATCATTTGGATGTCTGCAGACAAGCAAGCTGCCCTGTCTCTCTCTTGTGCTTGCCTAGATTCTTAAGTTTTGATAGTTTTCTTTCTCAAATGATTATATTAATAAGATTCTGTAGCAAGTTAGTGTCACTTCTATACACCAATTACGGAAATATTTATATGATTTAATTTTCGTATTGGATCTAGCCCCATTTTGATATTGAGGATCAGATTGTGTACTGAAGATTTCTAAGAACTCCCAAGAAGCTGATAAAGCATCATTTTCAGCTCAGTTGCCTGCCAAAGAATGACCCTGGGGACCATAGCCAAAAGTCTGTATGCAGAGGCGACCGGCTCAGTTTGTCTGGATTTGTTCACCAATCCCATCTCCTTGTCTTGTGGGTGCACCTTCTGTTTGGATTGCATCCAAACATGGGCATCAGAAAGGGTGGGTTTGAAATTGATCTGTCCCATGTGCCGAAGGTCGATAGACGAACCTCCCAGGTTAGAATGGCAGATGAGAACACTGACACTTCTCCTCAAGCAGCATGAGCCCTCCTGGAGCACACGCTGCATGTGAGCCCTGAGCTCCAGCAGTTCCGGGAAGATATGAGTCTGGATGCAGCCACCGCCAGCTCCCTACTTGCCATCTCTGAGGACCTAAGGTGCGTCCAGCATGCAAAGAGCCATCAGGAAGCCAAGGAAGATCCCAGGAGATTCACCCGCTTGGCCTGTGCCCTGGGTGCACCCAGCTTCTCCACTGGCCAACATTACTGGGAAGTGGACCTGGGAGAGGTGAAGGAGTGATCTCTGGGTGTCTGCAAGGAGTCGGTTGACAGAAGGCAGAGCGATTTATCCCCCGAGCGTGGCTTCTGGGTCATCAGCATGAAGGCAGGAGCAATCTGTGCCAACTTCACCCCAGAAAGTAGGATTCCTGCAAGCCCTGGACTTGAGTGTGTGGGGATTTTCCTGGATGTCGAGATGGAAGAAATCCAGTTTGTTTTTTTTTTATTAATTTTTCTTACTTATACATGTGTATATTAGGTTTCCACTTTTGCCTTTACAGAATTAAAAAGGCTAAATTTAATGACAATAACAATAATTAACATAAGGACTGAGAACAAAAACCTCATAAAGAATGAATGAAGATGAATACATTCAGAAAGAAATCAGATGATTGTTACAACCAAATATCTGGGTTTTCCATGTTGGAAATGATGCCCTCACTTATAAACAGTCCTCTCTTCTCTCTGGGGCCTTCTCGTCCGTTTTTCCTTCTTGAGCTGCCAGGAGATGACAGTGGTGTCCTGAGAATCTGCCCATAAGAATTCGAGCTCTTGCTAGAAGCTTTTTAAAGAAGTCAAAGAGATCTTTGGCCTGAAAAAAGGTCAGAATGATCTAGGAACAGACAATATGCTATAGGGCAAAGGTTTGTTGAATATTCAGTGCATTTTTTAGCCTCTGTGGCAACAATGATACAGATTTGTTTGTGACAATATTTTAGGCTTGTCGGTAAAATAGCTATCAGATATTTGTGAATGTTATGAAGCATAAGAAGGCTCAGTTTTCTAGGCTGTAATTTGGGATGATTATATCTCTCAGTCACATAGCTGTCACGTTAGAGATATCTCTGTAGTAACATTTTTTTAGCAAATAATGAGTAGAGAATAGTAGGTTATGAGTTAAATAGACACTAGAGTTTGTGGATAGAAACTGTCTTTTTTATCTCATGGCTTTTTGTGTGAAATTCTGGTGATAGTCATCTGTGGACAAAGATCAGATGGAGTCAATGTGAGATGCTTTGAGAAGGCATAACATTTCAGAATGAGAGAAATAAATCCTGGGGAAAACCAAGTTTCTCATTTTTATTTTCTCTGAAACACAGTTTCTTAAGAGACAAAGAGCTTTGACCGAGGCATATTGTGAGTGGTGGTTCATATTGTAATGGGTATTGTGCTCTGCGCATTTCAACAATTGACCTGGTGTGTAGTTGTCAGTACACTAGGGTGTCTATGAAAGGCATGAAGGTGCCAATAGGTTAAATGAGATAGTGTCAAGTTTAACAGATCCCAAAAGACTGAGAAATTTCTATAATCAATTATATAAAGGAAGAAATGACTGTGCCAAAGACTGGATCCCTGAAGGTCTGTCCAGCAGATACAGGCTCACTTGCAAAACCCAGTGCCTTTTCTGAGATGAAAGGCCATCTCCGCAAGCCCAAACTTCAGACCTGTGTTGTTGATTTTTGATCTGTAGGAATTGTTTATCAACCGCGTTAACACATTAACGTGTATTCATCATAAATTTCTTTTTAAGGTTGTTTTGGATTTATTATTAGAGTTTGCATTTTCTTGCAACTAAATTTGTAAAATGTCTGATGCTCTCATGAGTATTCTGTTTGGTCCGCCTGCCACATCCTATCTCTTCTCTCAGCACATCCACAGCATGTCAGACTGATTTCCCACCCTCCTACATTCTTGGGATGGCTCCTTTTTAAAGGTTTTAGAGTCCATAGTGTTGGACTTTTTTTTTTTTTTTTGATATGACGGGCACCAAAGGCTGGGTCTAGGTATGTTCTACCCTTTGACTTCCTTTCATAGAGACCCAGAATTGTCACCTTCCTTGTCCTTCCAACTCCACTGGGGGAGGGAGACAGCCGACTCCCCCCCCTCCTTATTTCCTTTTGCTCCTTACAATTTCATTTGAAGAAATTCCTTGTCCTCCCCTGTCACTGGGCTGAGGTGGAGGACATGCTCATCCCCCCAGATAGGTCTTTGTAATGTTGAC